CCCAGCCTGCCCCACAGCATCCCTGGGGGCATATGCGTGGCTCTGGAGGAGCCTCAGGCATGCAGGAGCTACAGCTGAGCATCTGTCAGAGGCTCAGAGCTTTGCAGTCCTCCTGAGACTTAGCCAAGAGGGAAACTGCTGTGGGTGCAAGGATAGGCTCCCCTTACCTGGTAGAACATGGCACTGGTAATGGCCAGAAATTTGTCCTTGGGGATGACAGTCTGAACTCCCTCTAAGGCCTCCAGGAAGATAGTGAGGCTCTGCAAGAGACCAGGAGAGGAAAAAAGTGCTGAAGCCACATCTAGCCACTTGGGAGTGGAGAAACTGTTTTCCAATGGTTTCTCCACTGGGGGAAGCTCCTGCACATTGCTTGGCATTCTTGTTTGTCCCCCACCTCCCAGCAGCATCAAAAGACTCTCTCGGCTCTCAACCAAGCCCTGTTGGCATCGTTTGCAGACATTTCCCACCCAGCATCCCTCTTCTCCCTCATCAGATACAACTAAACGTGGTCTGCCTGGTTGTTAGCACAGAGCTCCTCAGGCACTCAGAGCCCCATGGTGGTGGTTGTGAAGCCTCCCATCCCCAGGATATGGGCCCCACTGACTCTTGGCTCCCTCCTGGCTCCTGTTCCCATTGTTCTTTCCTTGACTGAAGAGCTCAGGAAGCCTCAGACCTCCCTTGATCACCTGTTCCATCTTTCTCCAAGGATTCCCCACCTCCTCCCGCATCCCCCTGACCCCTCGTGGCATTTGCATGGGCCCCACGTCCACGCTGAGCCCTGCACAACATCTCACCTTGGTCACTCTGCAGATGTCTTGGTCCTCCTGATATGGGCGCACGAGCCAGAGGAGCTGCTCCCAGACGTGCTCTCGGTGCAGCTCCTCTTGCAGGAGGACAGCCATCATGGCAGTCACAGCCCCGAAGACAGCCTGTTTATCCTGGAGAGGGATGGCAGAGGCCCAGCATCAAAGACTGAAGGTCTGCCCTTCCTACAGAGAGGGCTTTCTCTTTTCCTTCCCCTTCCCCATACCCCCTTGCCCAGCAGCAGATGAGCTCGCTCTGGACAGCAGGGAGATTTTGCCCACACCCTCATCCCCAGCACTCCCTGCCACAATGCTGTGATATGCAGCTGCTTCCTGGCAAGGAGATCCAGCCCCGAGCACAGTTTGGGGCCCTTTGCAGAGCCAGCCCACTCCCTCTCATCACCCCTCTGCTCTCAGCCCACTGGGCACAGACAGAGCTGCTGACATGGAGGTGCCCGCTGCCATCCTGGGCTGGGAATGCAGCAGTGCTCACCTTTTCCTCCTTGCAGTCCTGCCAGTTTGTCAGCACGGAGAAGAAGAGCCGGTACAGATTCTCGTAGATTTGCTCTTTCTCCGTGGCAGGCCGGGGGC